CGATTTTGAGGTGTAACAGTCTCTTTAAAAAAAAGTTGGTAAACTAATCAAAACAGAAATGTATGAGCACCTTTTGTTTTATAATTAATATTATATACATATGTTCATTGTTTGATAACCCTCCATTTGATGGTTGTTAATTAATCCGTTTGATTCGTATTATTGTAGAATGAGAAGAAAAATATAGTCGTTATTGAGCCCCATACAAGAAATAGAAATTCAAAATTGAGGGCTTGATATGATGGATAACGGTCATATTTTTCATTTTTATAGATGAAAAATGAGAAACAAACGGTGGCTATATCAATTACATGTTTGGCCAAGTGTTATAGTAAGTTAGTTAATTTAAACTTATTTTTAAAAGTAAATTTTGTTTCGACACATGCTTGGTTATATTAATTTTTTTCCCGTATTTACAAATAAGGGTGGGCATTTTTTTTTCGAAACTGATTGAATCGGACTGGATCCAAATAGATCAGGTCAGTTTGACTCTGATTCTCCTACTAAATGGATCGATTTTGGGACGATATATCGAGAATCGATCGGTTTCGGTCCAGTTCTCAGTACTGTTTTGAAAACCAACAGTGAATTCGGTTATCCCAAATTTAATCGAATTTCTCCTTTTGATTGCACCCTGATGCACTAAATCTTTGAATACTAAATTCCAAAATTATCTCATGTTAAAATTTCATTTTTCATATGCTTTCAAGTGGTCTAATTATTCAAGGTCAATTCTTTAATGACCACCTCCATTTTAGGGTGGGTCTTCTTATTCATGGTCTCTTTGTTGAATACCTTCACCTTTTAGGGGGTCTACTTATTCAAGACCACTTCTTCAGTAGCCTCTCCCTTTTTAAAGGGGCCATCTTGTTCATGGACTATCTGGGGGTCTACTTATGTAAGGCCTCTTTGTTGGAGACTTCCCCCTTTCAAGGGGTCACTTATTCAATGCCACTTCTTCAGCGACCTTCCCCTTTTCACGGGGTCTTCTTATTTATGGCTTCTTTGTTGGAGACCTCCTCCTTTTAATGGATTTACTTATTCAAGACCACTTCTTTAGCGGTCTCCTCCTTTTAGGGTATTTTCTTATTCATGGCTTCTTCGTTGGAGACCTTTCCCTTTCAGGGGGTCTACTTATTCAAGACCACTTTTTCAGTAACCACCCTCTTTTAGGGGGTCTTCTTATTCATGGCCACTTCATTGGAGACCTCTCCCTTTCAGAGGGTCTATTTGTTCAAAAACACTTCTTCAATGGCCTTCTCTTTTCAAGTGGTCTTCTTATTCATGGTCTCTTCGTTGGAGACCTTCCCCTTTTGGGGGTTCTACTTATTCAAGGCCACTTATCAGCGATCTCCTCCTAAGATATTTATGGTCTCTTTATTGGAGACGACCCCTTTTTAAGGGGTCTACTTATTCAATGTCACTTCTTGAGCGACCTCCCCCTTTTAGAGGGTCTTCTTATTCATGGCATCTTCGTTGGAGACCTACCCCTTTAAGGAGGTTTACTTATTTAAGGCTTCTTCTTCAACGGCCTTCCCTTTTCAGGGGATCTTCTTATTCATGATCTCTTCGTTTGAGACCTCCCCTTTCAATAGGTCTACTTATTCATGTCCACTTCTTCAGTGGCCTCCCTCTTTTCAGGGGGTCTTCTTCACCGTTTGAACTGAATTTCCATACAACTCATTGTTTTTTTTTTAAAGGTAGGGGGTCTTATAAATGGATTTCTATCTTAATATATTCAGTTTTTCAAGAAATATCAGTAATCCAAGCATAGATGTCAACTCTAAATCTCTTTCTTGGGGCTTTCACTTGTTCTTTCTTCAAGAATAAATCATTTTTCAAGGGGAAAACCAAATAAATATTTCGGTAATCTTTTTCTACGGGAATGTTCGTGGTTGCATTAGTTTTTTCTACAGACGGCGCCAATCTGTTGACCCCATTTTTTGTAATGGTTACGTGGACAATAGATGTCGGGCCTACTCGCGTCCACACAAACAAATTTCAACACGTTTTAATCGGATATTCGGACTGGAAACGATGGCGCTTATGGACATGATCAAATATGATTACATATAAACAAACAATCATAAAAAACTCAACCAAAGTAGAAGTAAAATCAAGCAAATAAATATAGAATAAGCAAGAGATATGATTGAGTACGGTTTCAAGTGTAAAGTGTTGCATTATTAGACATAAGTTATGAGCTTTTATAAAGTTCTGGACGACGTGGTAGCCGTTGGATAAAAACCACGTGAACTCATCTCTCAGGTTGAAGCATCACATCACTTAGTCTGTTATACATTTAATATATTGACAACGAATTAGCTACCTTATGCCCTAGGCCAATAATCCTTACATTAATTATCAGGGCTTCAACTACTTACATAGTGCTTCGACTTCTTCTTGAGCCTTGGTTTTGAGGTGTGGGCTTCTTCACGAGCCTCGATTTTGAGGTGTAATAGTCTCTTTAAAAAAAAGTTGGTAAACTAATCAAAACAGAAATGTATGAGCACCTTTTGTTTTATAATTAATATTATATACATATGTTCATTGTTTGATAACCGTCCATTTGATGGTTGTTAATTAATCCGTTTGATTCGTATTATTGTAGAATGAGAAGAAAAATATAGTCGTTATTGAGCCCCATACAAGAAATAGAAATTCAAAATTGAGGGCTTGATTTGATGGATAACGGTCATATTTTTCATTTTTATATATGAAAAATTAGAAACAAACGGGGGCTATATCAATTACATGTTTGGCCAAGTGTTATAGTACGTTAGTTAATTTAAACTTTTTTTTAAAAGTAAATTTTGTTTCGACACATGCTTGGTTATATTAATTTTTTTCCCGTATTTACAAATAAGGGTGGGCATTTTTTTCGAAACTGATGGAATCGGACTGGATCCAAATAGATTAGGTCAGTTTGACTCCGATTCTCCTACTAAATGGATCGATTTTGGGACGATATATCGAGAATCGATCGGTTTCGGTCCAGTTCTCACTACTGTTTTGAAAACCAATAGTGAATTCGGTTATCCCAAATTTAATCGAATTCCTCTTTTTGATTGCACCCTGATGCACTAAATCTTTGAATACTAAATTCCAAAATTATCTCGTGTTAAAATTTCATTTTTCATATGCNAAATTATCTCATGTTAAAATTTCATTTTTCATATGCTTCTTCTTTCCTTTAATGGATAATCGAAATTCAAGTTTAATTTTATAAATATTTTACAAATTCATTGTCTTAATATAATACATTATATTTTTAATTCAACATTTCATAATAATTCAATTTTCTTGTTATTTTCAAAGTGACTGGCTATCAAGAATCATGATTCTTAAGAATTACTAAAAATAATCAGTCTATTGTTATATGCATTTTTAACAAAAACTATTTTTCGATCGAAATTTTACTGTTTATACTGTAGTTAATAGTTTATCATTGTTTTGCGTTTATAAGTTGATCTTGAGTTTTGGAAGTGAATTTTTGTCCGTTGTTTAATTTTATTGATTTTTTGTATTGTTAGATTACAAGAATGACAAATGATTTCGTCTTCTATTTTTATTTATTTTCAAATTGATAAGTAATTTCATACTTTATTTTATAACTTTTTTAATATAAAGAATCAGATCGAATAGGAACCGGTTGGTTCGGTTCTGTAGTTGGATATGGAACCAATGGTTCAATTTCTAAGATTCCCATTGATACTCAGTTCGTTTCAATCTAGAATCGGATTGAATCGAACCACGCCCACTCATATTTACAAACTTATTTATTTTAAACTTTAATTATTTACTTATAAGAAAACTTGTGTATAACTAATTTCTTTTAAGATTAGCCAAACATAAACCAAACTGCAGCTTAATTAGATTGAATCGAAATATAGGGTGATGGAAGGCAGATATCAATTATGCTTCAGTTAGAAATTAGAATCACTAGTTATTGTTGGGAATAAAAAAACTTCCCTTGTTTGATATCCATTTTTTTTTTTTTTTTCATTTTTTTTCTCTTTCTTTATTTTAACCACACATTCTATCAATAAAATCATATTACATATAAACCCAAAAATTCTCCTTACTTTTTAACCACACATTCTTTCATCAATAACTATTCTAAATCAAATTCTTCTTCAAAATGGGTGTCAAACAAGGGCGTATTATTAAATAAAAATTGAAGAATACAGCATAGTTCTTAGAAAGTCATCTCTTGCAAGTGAAGGTTTGTATAATTCCTCTTGATCAATACTATGTACCGCCGATTTTAGAGGCGATGAACCCAAATAATTCATTGTTTAATGAAGCTGAGAAATATTTTGATTCATTGAACAATGAATCAGTAGAGTATAGTGTCACGTAGAGCGTAACATTATTCTTTCTAGAAAATCCTTTCTATGTTAACTTTTTTCCTCTGTCCTCCTTTTCCCTTTTCTTTTCCTGAAAGAAAATTACAAAGTTTGGAGATCATTTGTAGGAAAAAGGAATACGGGTCGAGTTAAAATAAAACTATATTTTCTGTGTAAAAGAGCATAAAAAAATTTGATTGGATAAACACGGAAGAAATCGATTGACTTATCAAATTACCTTACAAGCACTAAAAAGGATTCAACAAAATGGAGTTCTGTGAAGATCAACTATTCTCAAGTTTTATAACCAATTATTAGATTAGGCCTAATCTCTCTCCACCCCCACACAGAATGTGTTGTTGCGTTAGTGCAGAAGAAAATATATAAACATAGGTAAAAAAATAAATTGAAGAAGAAACAAAAACCAGGTAGATGGCTCCATTGAAATTAAAATGTATGTACAAACAAGACTTGGCTATGTGGGTAAGGAAGGAATTAGAAAGCACGAGACAATATTAAGAAACAAAAAGTTAAAATCTTCTTCATTACGCTATAAAGTCGAATCCAGTACTGCATACTAAATATACATACAAAACAAATTGTTATACCTTATTCCAACCAAAGATGAGAGGCATCCCTTAACTTTGCTTACTAATAACAAGATTTTGCTGCAGAGCTTGTATATTTCTTTGAAGAAGACGACGACACATCACCCGACCTTCTCCTTAGCATTTGTCTCATCCCATCTGCAACTCGAATTGCTGGATTCGACTTATATTTACGACAAAATGACATGTGAGCCTTGACAGCTTCTTCCATTACAAATTCTTTATTCCCTCTGTTAACTTCATCTCTTACCGCTTCTGAACACAAACCACATAGCCATTTACCATCAAATTTTGCCTTCACTTCACTTATATAATCCTGTGTGCAATCTTCTTTCAATCCACAGCACTCACACTTAACCATTTCAACGTCCATTTCTCTCTTAAATTTGTGCTCCAAAACTAAAGAAAATTTATGGGTTTTTGTTTTTTACCACGAATTAGGAGTTGGGAGAGAAAAAAGTAGCAGGAGGGAGAGGAAAAGCAGAGAACTTATAGTAGGGAAAACTGCCATAAATTGCTCCATGTTCTAAGGGACACTGGGCAATGGAATATGTGAAGATGTGGGAGGGCCCCTCTAATGTGTGGACCACTTTGGCAATTAAATTTTTAACCTTTCTAGGGGAACTTTTTCATGGCTGATTGACGGTTACTTTACTTTCGGTTGACACGTTTTAAGGCTTTTATATGCATTTTTCGACTCCATGCATGTTTTGACCTCTTGACTTTGGATTCTTGTAGATTAACCTCAGCATATTGGGTCGATATCATGAAAATCACAGCCATACTTGGTTGATTTTTTTGTTTCAAAAATGATAATATTAGTAATTAAGGACCTGTTTGAGTCGGATTAAAATCTGATTTTAATTCAATTCAAAGTCAAACAATCAATATTAACAACATCTTTCATAGGTCTCACATCTTTTCAATCACACATTGCAATAACTTCTATCACAATCCACTGAAAATCTAACTTTAATCCCCACCAAACACCCTCTAAATATTTTTTGGGTAACATAATAGATTTTTATGTATTAGACCAATATCTTATTTAGTAAATACATGATAAGATAGGGATGTAACTAGAAAAATTAAGAGCCAAATGTGATTTGATAGAGCAAGACTAATGACACATCCGATGAACACCAATTAAGAATTCAAGCATAGTTCGTTCTTAGGTATTGATATATTCCATCAAAAGAAAATTCGAGACAGACAAAAACACCTCAGTAGAATTTCTAACTTGACGATTAAGTCCAGGGTTAGGTCCATCAACAACTCTCATCATCTTTCACTTGCTTTCAAGTCTTATTGCTATCTATTTTCTCAAGTCATTTGTGAGTAGAAAACTATAACCTTGTGACCCTTTTACTATTAGTAAATAGACAGTAAAATCATACTCGAAGTCACATAGAGATGAATTTGGAGATCCATTACATTATCCCTATTTGATTTAACTAAAAATTGAATTTTGAGTAGATTTTGATAAAAATTAAAAAAAGTATATGATTGAAAAGTTAATAAAAGTTGTAGATCTCATAAAATATATAATAAAAATAAATTTAAGAAAAATGATTTTTAGATAATGGGGACGAAATTGAGGTTCTCTGTATAGGCCATTTATTGAACATTGAATTCACATGTTTTCAACGGATGGGGGTTGCCATTTGAATTTTTAGATGGTTGGCGTTGCGCACAATATGAATATCTGTCGATGCCCATAGTTTTTTTCAAATGTAACAAATGCCCCGTCTATGGCACACAGATACGTGAACATCTGACATTTGTCTACATCAGGAATTCTTTTAAAGAACTCGACTGATATGTTTGAGTTCGTTTGGCAGGATTCTGAAAAAATCAAAAACTGTTTATGAGATTATAAAACGTTTCTAAATATGTTCGGATAATTTTTTTTTTTAAAGTTTTATATCTGGCTAGATTAGCTTCAAAGAAAGCTGATCTAATATACATTTCTCAAGAAGCTCTTTTACAAAATCAGAAGTCCTGCCAAACGATCTCTTAGCATAATAAATTAAAAAAAAAAAATTAAAGAAGAAAAATATTCTATATTTATATGTTATCAAAATTGTCCATTAGCATTGGTGCTAAGGTTATATCCTCACCGTCTAAATACACTAACAACAATAATAAACATATAAAAGTTTGAATTACTCGTTTTAATTATGTTACAATACTTGAAATGGAACCTTTAACATGTTTGGATTACCTCTTCCATTAATAGCTAAATCATTTACATGAGAATCATATCAAGTATTGCACCCTATAGAAAATTTGTTACAATTGTTACTTCCATCATTTAATCATAATTAAACCTAAATTGCAAAATACCTATCATTACGTCGTAAATTTTCCCTTAAAAGTTCTAAATAATTCACATTTTTATATTATTGTTTTTCTCCTGAAAAAATTATATACTCGTTCAAACCATACATGACTGAACGTCTTAACCCCTTCGATTTTATCTTTATCTTTATCTTTATCCCCTTTTTTTTTTCTTTGTCAAAAGTCTCTTCAACTAGAATACAGTTATTTGTTAAAGTAATAAACTTTTCCTTGAGTTCATTGTTTTTTTCCCCTCCTAGTTTATCACTTTTTTTTTTTTTTTTTTTTTTTTT